AGAACATTAGTATCACAAGCTTCCAGCAGTTAATCTGATCTCCTGTCTTTTTCTACTATGTTGAAAAACCTAGTAATCATTTTTTGATAATTTTATTTATGATGAGAAAACAAGAAGTATTCTATCGGTGCTATCTCAGATATTCAGTTATATGGTCTTATTCGTATAAAACTACCACCACAAGTTTGTTAGGATCAGCTCTTTGGATACATTAGAACGTTTATTTTCTTCATCGGAAGGTCCAATATCCTCCTTATTATTGTAAATTGAACGGATTCGAACGAAACTGAAGTTCCAGTTTGACAAATATTTTATTGAAGATATACTCTTATTCATTGGCTTTGAACTCGAAGTTTAGACGTTAATTCCTAGTTTTTGGCTTCTCTTGTTTTTTGTACCTTGGGAGCTGTCTGACTTGTCCATTTAGTCCAAGTCTCCAGAAAACACTGCAGCCTCTTGGGCTTGTTGCGTTTATTCTCTCATCTTCTCATGACACCCATTCCATCAGTCTCGTTCCCTGTACTAGTTTGTACAGATTCCGTGTTGGATCTTCGTCATATTCTCCTGGGCGTAATTTTGTACGTCCATATATAACCTGCCTTCTGTGATTCAGTGCCTCACATTCGCATAAGATGCGTAGAGCTGTTTCTATCCCTTCGTTGCATAATCTGCAGCTGAGGTCTCCTGTACAGCCCCATTTTATTCAGGTGTCCTCTAAGCGGACAATGAGCGGTTTATAAACCTGTAATTATTCTGAGCCGATCCCTACTTTATTGAAGTAGTTCTTCAGTTCTTTTCTCGGACGGTTCCCTAATGAAGGTTCTACTGTGTTTGTTGCCAGGTACTTTTTTCCAGTACTCTATGTGCCTCTTATTGGTCCATGTCCTAATCTGCTTTCGTATCAATGATTTTGGTACCCCCATAGCTGGTTCAGGACCTATATATGAAGTTGATGATCCGCATCTTACGCATTCATCAGCTTTATCATTACCTGTGATTCCTGAATGCCCTGGCACCCAGTACAAAGGTAATTTGTTCCTGTTTGCAAGTTCATTCAGTTCTTCATGGCATTCCCACACCAGTTTTGATGTCACCTTCGGGTTTGTCAGAGCCGCTAGTGCACTCTTGCTGTCTGTAAAAATATTGATCCGCTCATTTCTTTGAGGTCTCAATTTATTAAGCCTTGCACACTGCAAGATAGCATACACTTCCGCCTGAAAGACGGATGTGTATAGTCCTAGTTTTTGACTTTAACATTGAAATATTCAGACCAATGTCATAATTTCGAATTTGAGCTGGTGATTTCGGATTAAAATGTATAAACGAATGATTGAAAAAATGTATACTCACTTTAGTATACTTCATAAGTATACATCAAGAGTTTTCATTTTTCCGAAATTATCAGATGTTGAAGAATCATACGTGAATATACTGGGTGTCCCATCTGAAATAGTTCTTTCTCAAATACTTTGTAAATATATTTTGTTTATATCAAAGGAGCTGTGTTGTGGCATACAATGCGTCTTTCTAACTTCAACTCCTTAATTTTTCATTGGGAAAGCGGGTAGATACTTTTATTACATGGAGTTTTCACCCTCCATGCAACCTGTTTTCTTTTTGCATTTTTATGGATACACTACCAGAAATAATAAGAATTAACGAAACACTGAATGTTGAAATTGACCTTCGTCAGATACTCGTTAATGATCATATTTCATGCATCTTCAATGGTTATTTAGTACTTAAAAAAAAATTTCAAAGTGTTATGAAACGTAATATCGTTTTCTAGAGTTGATTTCATCATGAATAAGATAAATAATGTTCACCATCTATATTACCTTCGAAGAAAAGATCCAACAATATATTTTCAAGACACACCTATACACACATTGATTTTTGGAGGTTGATGTGGTTTTTCTCGAAATTATTTATAGTTGGTGTCGTTCTAGTATCAACAGTTGTGTTTATTAACTTCATAGTTCGAATAAAAGTGATCATATTTGGAGAAACTTTTTCATCAGAATTGACACAAATTTATTGTCCCGATAATAACAATTCTATCAAGTCAACAGCTCTGTCTTGCAATATATAAACCAGTAAGCACACATCAACAATCATACCGATATGTCAAAGTTAGTCAGTTTATCATTTTCACCCTTTCTATTCAAATGTTTTCATGGAGAATAGATGATGTAGAGAGTTTTGTACTTTTTTTTTATTGAACAGAACAAGTGGAAACCACAAAACAAAAACCAAGGACATGTAAAAAACAAAGTTTGGTTCATCCTACGTCCACTCCTACCTTTTGAGAAAGTACTTATAAGAATGCAAAACAACATCGTTTTGCGATTGAAAATACTTTTTAATCAAACTAGTTTTTTTCATTGATTTTTTTAGCCACTGTAATAACAATTTTAGCTATGTATTACATTGATTGTCCGAATTTAAAAACTAAAGCTAATAATGAATTCTAATGAACGAAACGTCGCATTGCAAATTGAATTATGTCATATCATAACAAATATGAGTATTGAAAGTTTGTCTGTCATTTTTTTCATATTATTTGAAACGTAGATGATGTGAGCCAAAAAACGACTTTCGACAATTCCAGTTCTTACGAATATTTCAAAATCAACTGTTTAAAAATCTGTCTGTTTTAAAATCTGTTTTTCCGTTAACAAGCTGTCGCACCCCTACGAACGACAACCCTCAGAAGTCGGAACTTGTGCGAGCTAAGGATTAACGAGGTCTTACCTTTTAACGTGTGATTCCTAACACGGGTTGAACGATAGCAAGTGAAGATCGATCGTTCAGACTAGGGCTTGAACCACCGACCAACACGGCAGTCAATTCGAGTGAGTGAACAAATCACCCACGCCGAACCGCTTGGCTACCGACTGACCTACCTAATATTGTTCGATTGTTTCTAGATTTTCATTTTTTATCAACATAATTTTATGGCTGGTGGAGCCACAATTACTGATTTTAAAATTTTTAGATTTAGTTCAATTATAATTCACTAAACTACATTACTTATTGACAACACAATTTTTTATCTTTGGAGTTGCTGTCATATTTCAAACATCAAATAATTCGCATACAGATATCAACTTCTCTGGTTGTTTTAAGGGGTTTTCAACAAAAGCATTTTCACAACTGTCCACTAAAATCACTTCTGTAAGAAATTGTACATATGATATAAGCAATGCTACTATAACTAATTCAGTGAATTTAATAAGTATCAAAGGCAGTGAGCCTTTGGGATCTTGTTTTTGACATGGCAAGAGATTAAAATCATTCCAGCATAAAATATCTGGAAAATGTTATTTTCTTTTGGAAATAAATGATTTCAGTTTTCTCTATTAGAGCGTTGGGAATACAATAAAGAATTGTCCAAAATTCAAGTGAAAGTTAATCTTCCCATACTCTCTCTCTCTCTTCCAAATAGTAATTTTTACCATCTTTGTCATGTTTTAGCGATTATTTGGTTTAGTTTTTAACTGCCAGATGTCAGTCTTGTATTATCTCGTATGTTAGGTTTGAAATTTGTTTTTTCCGTTAGCTAGCTATCGCACCCCTATGAACAATAACTTTCGGAAGTCGAAACTTGTACGAGCTAAGGACTAACGAGGTCTCACCTTTTAACATGTGATCTCTAACACGGATTGGAAGCATGATTAGTGCTCAATTTGTACACCGATTTGTATATCAATTTCACTTCAATTATACAGGTTAATCTTAAATACTTATTCACCGTTTTCATGGATTTTAGATGATATTTTTCTAATCTTCATTTATAACATTCTCACAGTCAAATTTCCATTCTAAATGAATAATTCAGTAATTCAGACGTGTTGCCAAATACATAAATAACTTCTGATTTTAGAAAAGAATAACCACATAGATTTTTTTACAATCTCAAAAAGGATCCCGAATTGTTTTCATTCGTGACTATGATGAATGTTTGTATATTTTCTCAATTTTTGAAACATCTGAACGATTTACCAAGAATTGTTCAAATTTCATCGAGTTCATTATTTACTCCATAAACGTATATACAGTGTGTGGAATAAATTAATTATATATCCTGAGGAGCCTGAAAATCCCACTCATATGGAAAAAATGTCATCAATATAAATAGTCCTTGGTGATATTCTCATTTCAATTTTTTGAGTAATGAAAAAATAACTTTTATTACACATTTAGTAAACCACACTGTACGGAATCCATACCATAGTCAGCTTGAACATAGTGTAGATAGATATCCTCAAAATTGTCTCAATGACATTCTGCCTGGGGTATTGTTTTTATAGAAATAAATATAATGAGTGAAAGGTGATATCAGTTATCCTGATTTGTTTACGATAATTCGAAGGTTTCAAGGTCCGGATTCAGAAACTATTTTATATTTACGTTAGCAGTCGTTCCAACAAAATTTCTTCTTTCATCTTCTATTTTTCGAATATAAATTATCTTTCAAAACTTGATAACGTTCAACACTGTCTCAATTTTTTTTTGCTAGTTTTTGTTTCATGATTTACGAGTATAATACATTCATTTACATGTCAGGCTTTGACCAACTCGAATTTTGAAATATACTGTCAAGAAACGTGCTAAGTTTGATATTGATGCTGTATCCAAAACTAATCAATTAATAACTGAATAAACTTTGAGAGTTTATCTGTCTTTTTTATTATAACTAATTCAGTTTTTTCTGTCCATTTTGATGTATGTTACCGAATAAGAATAAATCAATGAAATATACTATTTAAACTAACAAATAACAAGGAAAAAGTTTGGTAAATTGCCACTTGAACATATGTTACAGTAAATTATAAAAAATTAAATATCATTGACGATAAAAAAGCTCGTTAATAATTTTGAAAGCCTATAAAATCATTCCAATTCCAAAACGTTGGATAACATTCACTCGCAAGTCTAAATAAAATTCATTTTTATAGGACCCCTAATTTTGCCAAACTAATATAGTGAATACTCACATGATTTCAATCGATCAATCACTACTAAGTCACCTGAAACATTTGAGAACTTCAATCTTACGCAGCGAGCACACGCACTGTCATTTGTTTTGCGGTAGTCGTAAATTCAACTGAGGAAGGGACGATCAAAAATTGAATGTCAGACTAGGACGACTAGGTTGGCGAGTTAGACCGGTGTTTCGGAAGAATGAATCGAATAGCTGACTAGATATTATAGCGACCTTTAAAATGTGGCCAGTCATTGTTACTAGAAATTCACAAATACGTGTTACGATTTATAAACTAATGACATGTTTTGATAAAATCAAGCGAAAGACTTCCTGACAGATATTTTTCTGGAAAAAGTAGCAAGGTGACAAAGTTTTGCGAAACTGGACCGGTTGAAAAATATTACTGGAGTTCTTTCTATCTCAACACCAAACCTTTATTTTTTTAACACCTTGACACGTTCTTCAAGAGGAAGACTAACTTTTTGAAGTTTAGGAAGATTGAACAGTTCAAGATGAAGATGATCACTTGCTGATTGAAAAACGTGTCAACACCAATAACGGTTTGATGTTGGGATAAAAACCCATTAATATTCATTACTACATCAAAGGTTCTAAACAAAGCATCACATGGATCGCTTGAGATAAAAAAGGTAGTGTGAGACTCCAGTACTCAGTGAAGGATAAACTGCAATGGTTAGCATGGCTAGTACAAGAAAATTGTCCACTATCATGGACGTGAGTCAGACATCTACCCATCGAATATTGAAACTTTTCAATTTTGTATGGTTAATCTAAGATACAATTCCAAAACCTTAAAATTTAATGTGTGAGCTGGTATTTCTGGAAACTTATTTCTAGGTCCTTCTTTTCTTCCTGAAAATTCACCTGGTGATATGCAAGAGGTTTGAAAGTAGCACAACAAAACGATTCCATCCATTTAGAGTAATATAGTTTCTTGCAAAAAAGATATATTGGAGGTGCTTCACAAATAACCTAAGTCGTTACACAAAAACTGAGTTCTTACAATTCAAAAAGGAATATCAGCAATTCTAGATTCAGAGGAAGATAGATAGATAGATAGATAGATAGATACTACTTCATATCGTAAGCAAAATCGTTTTCAGAGTCGTTGGTAATATATTCATGAACGAAACAAATTTACTGATGGAACAGATATAAGGTTGAACCTAACTAAAATGACTTGAAATAAGGGGCCGTCCATTAATCACGTTAAGCGCTTGGAACGCGCGATATCTAAACCGAAAAGCGGCGTGTTATATGAATTTGACTCGCGGTTGCCAGGCAACAAACGAAGTCGCCGGGCACCACGTCGGCTTGCCAGTTATATTATGTCCATTGAAACAATGTTTATACTAGGTGATCTGTATAAAAGACCAATTTTCAGAGTAAAATTTTAAGATTCTTTGTAGGTACTAAAAAATACACGTGATTTTGGGTATGGGAGAAGGGTTAGTCTCAAACCTCACTACGAAGGGGGGAAGGGGTTAATAAATGCTAAAAAACATCACTTGATTAATGGACGGCCCCTAATGAAAATTTATTTAAAGACCACTAGATTCATGCCTCCCATTTTTGTAATTTCACCTTTGATTCAGTA